ATCAAACTCTACTTTAAAATCCTATTTAAATTCTCTCTATCTCCATCACAGCAATTCTGCAAATAATAATAATAATAATATTGTGATTCTAATATTGCACTATAGGTTCCTCAAGACTGGAAGGTTTACAATCAAGTCCTCAACTTCTCATGCCTTTCAACGGGGTTGTAGATTCAAAATCTAAACATGAAGGTTATAATTTTGAAGTCGTAATATTGGTAATGGACTCAACCTGCTGTAATGAATGTCAATATGCATGTTGCTACATTTGTTAGCTCCCATGTATTGTTGTTTCTATTACCTCTGCTTATAGCCTTTATAATGATGTTTCTTGAATAAATGGGTCAGCTGCAGCTCATCTCATATAAATACCAAGTGGCTAATTTTTCGGATTGAGCTTGAGCTCATCTTGGCTATTTTGGCTGAGGTATAACACTTAGACTATGTTTGACTCATGTTTGTAAACTATTTATAATCATTCAAGCCGCCTTTTGTCCACACATTTTGAGAGACTCACAAGTGCTAATAACTTATTTGCCACTCATTTTTATTTATTTCTAATTTTAAACTGTTTATGAACGCATCCTAAACATGCTTTTATTAACCCTTTTAGTTTGTCAAAAAAAATTCTAAGAGGTCATGGTTATATTCTTCTATTCTGAGTCTCTCTAAAACAATGTAAGACAGTTTACAAGTCCTCAAATTGATAATATTCCCATGGGTCAAACAATACTATTGTGTTTTGACTCTCAACCAGAGGAAAGAATTCAAGTTAAAACTTGTCTAGAATTTGGTTTATGTTTTTCTTTTGTTATAATTTGTTACGTCTATAATTGATTTTCTTATTTTGGCAAAAAATATTGACTCATCAACGTCCTTTCTGTTTCAGGAACTCAAGAGCCTCAGGCCTCAACTTCATTCTGCTGCAGAGTATTGTGAGAAGTCATATCTTCATAGTGAGCAGAAGCATATGTAAGCCTTCAACCTCCAACTTACTGAAGTACTCGATGCTTCCTTTTTATTTCTTAAATATATAGTTTGTTTGGCTTGATTTCTAATATTAGTTATAGCTAAATGTATTTTTCCCCTTCTTTTTTATGATTAAAAAATCAGCAATCTGGTGATTTTTGAAGTTAATGGATCACAGCATTTTGATATGTTGTCTTTGCTTTCAATTTGTGTAGTCATCCATGCAATTCTTGAACATTTTATGCCTTGGGGGATTCTCAAACAGTTTATCATGTGGGAGGCTGGGAGCTTCGTTTGTCATGTTCTTTTTTTTTTATCAGTACAGTAGTTCAACATTTAAATTTATTTGTTGATATGGGTTTTAAGAAAGTTGATATGTTCTCCTCAGCTGGGTCCAATTTGTTTTTGCCTCTCTTAAAACTTTGACTGCGGAAGTTCTCATATAGTGTGAATATGGAAGTTTAGTTTCACTGATAACTTGTGTGTTAGGGTACTGGACAACCTGAAGGCTTATGCTATAGAGCTCTAGTCAATGCTGTTGACCACCTTGAAACTGTTGCTTCCGAACTAACTGACCTCCTGGAGCAACCTACTTTGGATATTTCAGCCATGGATCTGAAAATTACATGTCTAAATCAGGTACTTCCACTCACCACGATTTAGGAGAACTGAACCATGATCCTGTCTGAATTTTGTTTTTCTATGTAAGCAACTTGTAACTTGTCAAGTGTATATGGATAAAGAAGGTCTTAGGCAGCAGCAGTTATTAGCTATCATCCCAAGTCATTACTTTGAACAATACTTGCTTCTAATTTTATCCATATAATTTTTGAGTATTTCATATTTACTATTTCTTTGGTGGACTGCCATTTTATATTCTATAGATAAGAAGGTGCACTTCAGCCCACATATACAGACAGATCCTAGGCAACATATCCAAGCAAGACCTCGTCTTTTCCCTTCAGGTAGCGGATGTCCTTAGTATCAAATGGTTCTTAAATTATAGTAGTATTGTTATAAGATTCTTCTGTTGAGCCACAAAATAATACTTGGTTAAAGTCATTACCTATTGCTGCCTGATGTAGGTGCTTCTGCAGCAAAAACTCTTTTGTGGCATTTAGCATCAGAAACCAAGTCTACCTTGAAAGGGTCTCCTCGTGAGAGCTTGTTGAAGATATGGAAAGAATAA